GTCGCGCGGGTCATCTTCGCCGCGAGCGCCGGGGCGACGCCCGTGCCGTCGTCGAGGAGGACCCAGAAGCCCTCGACGGCCGCCGCGGCCTCCGCGGCGAGGGGCGCGTCGACCCACGTCACGCCGTAGACGTCGTCCGCGACGCCCGACGGGGGCTGGGCGGCCTGCTTGCGGCTCGCGCGCGCGGCCTTGCGCTCCGCGGCGAGCGTCGCGTCGCGCTTCTTGAGCGCGGCCTTGGCGACCTTGCCCGAGCCCGTCATGGGCAGCTCCGCCCGGGTCACGAACTCGACGGACGACGGCACCTTGAAATCCGCGAGCCTCGCCGCGGCGTGGCGCCGGAGCGCCGCCGCCGTGAGCGACTCGTCCTGCTTGACGACGACGGCCTTGACGCGCTCGCCCATGGCGTCGTCGGGCATGCCGTAGACCGTCGCGAGCTTGACCCCCGGGTGGTCGTTGAGCACGCGCTCGACCTCGACGCAGTAGACGTTCTCCGAGCCCACGAGGATCATGTCCTTGGCGCGGTCCGTGATCGTCAGGTAGCCGTGGCCGTCGACCTTGGCGAGGTCGCCCGTGCGGAACCAGCCGTCGGGCGTGATGGCCTCGGCCGTCGCGGCGGCGTTCCCGTCGTAGCCCGAGAAGAGCGTCGGCCCGCGGATCCAGACCTCGCCGACGCCGCCGGAGCCCGGCGCGACGTCGACGGCGTCCGCGTCGGCCTCGAGGGGCTGCTCCACGGTCGGCACGTTGGACCCGTCGCGCGCGCCGACGACGCGGACCTCGAGGAGGCCGAAGGGGCGGCCGGACGACGTGATGAGGTCGAGCGTCTTCGCCGGCCCGACGCGCGCGCGCGTCGCCTCGTCGACGAGGGACATGGAGATCTTCCCGCAGCACTCCGTCATGCCGTAGGACAGGAAGAACTCGCAGTCGAAGGTCGCGAGCGCGCTCAGGACCGTCGCGGCCGAGAGCGGCGCGCCGCCGCACGAGAGCATCTCGAGCGACGACGCGTCCGCCTTTCCGACGGCCGGGTCCGCGAGGAGCAGCGTGATCATCGTCGACGCCACGTTGCTCACGGTGACGCGGTGGTCCCGGAGCGCGTCGAAGACGGGCGCGGCGGCGAACGCCGGCACCGTGACGTGCGTGCCGGCGACCCAGGTGATGGCGAAGATCGCGTAGGCGTCGACGAGGTGGAACATGGGCGCGCAGTGGAGCCAGACGTCGTCGCGCTTGAGGCGGTGCTCGACCATGCAGCCCAGCGCGTGCAAGAGCACGGTCTTCCGGCTGAGGACGACGCCCTTGGGGCGGCCCGACGTGCCCGACGTGTAGTACATCTCCGCGCCGGCGGAGCCCGGGAGCGCTTTGGCGTCCTCGGGGCGCTCGACGACGGGGCCGTCGGCGACGATGGTCTCGTAGAGGAAGGTCGGCACGTCCAGGTCCGCGGCGGCCTTGTGCAGCACGTCAGTCCAGACGACGGCGCGGATTTTTTCGTAGCGTTTCAGAGCCTCTCGGACGAGGCCCGCGTAGCTCGCGTCCGCGACGAGGACCTCGCAGTCCGCGCCCTCGAGGCAGTAGGCGAGTTCGTCGGGCGAGAGGCGCGGGTTGAGGTTCAGCGCGACGCAGCCGGCCCAGCCGGCGACGGCGTAGTGGCACTCGATCGCGGGCGCGCAGTTGGGCGTCATGAGGCCGACGCGCGCGCCGATCGTCGCGCCGCCCGCGGACCGCAGCCAGGCGCCGAAGCGGCTCGCGCGCGCGAGCACGGCGGCGTAGGAGAACGACGCGCCGGTCGCGAGGTCGCGGAGCGCGACGTCGTCGCCGCGCGCCGCGGCGGCCGTCGCCAAGGGCGCCCAGATGTCGCACGGCGCGGGCCGCACGGTCGACTGGAGCCGGTCGAGCTCCCGGGCCGCGAAGGCCGTGTCGCCCTCGCGCGGCGGCGGGATGCGCGTTGTTGTCGTTGTCGACGGAGGTGAAGGTGCGATCGACGCCCACGCCTCGGCTTGCTTTTCGATGGGCGACATGGGCGTCGACGCCTTATGCCTTGGATGGCGTTTCGTAGGCGTGGTCGGGCTCCCCACCCGCCAGCGTTGGGCTTGTGCTTCGGCCGAGATGGTCATCGGGTCCATCTCGCGGCGACGCACGAGAGGAAACTTTTCGACGACAGCATCGACAGCGACGCCGTCTGCCACAGGCGCCCCTCGCGAGGCCTCGAGTCCGCCGCCTGCGCCGTGCTCGATTGCGGCCGCTTCAAATCATGGGCTTGACAAATGATGACCAGCAGCAGACCCAGAAGCTGATCGATAGAAATTCCGACGAACCACAAGCAACTTCTTGGCGCAAATGCCTCCTCGCCTTGCTTTTCACGGTCGGCATCACGGTCGCGACCTTCGCCGTGGACGTAAGAGCCGAGAATCCGCACGCGATGGGCTTCGGGCACAGATCGAAAGCGAAGCCGAAAGCGTCCTTGATGACGACTGCCCCGCCGAAGGCGCTCTCGATCGCGCGCGACCGGCGGGACCCGCCGGCGAACGGGACCGCCTCGCCGCTGCCGGAGGCGACCTCGATGACGGCGAACGGGACCGGCTCGCCGCCGCCGGAGGCGACCTCGATGACGGCCGGGCGGGGCGGGGTCCATCACGTGCTCCATTCGTGGCATGTGTGCTCCTCGACGTGGCCCGTGGGTACGAAGACGCGCGGCAAGATCACCATCGAGGATCTCATCCGCTCGGCCTGGAAGCGCGACCTCCGCCCGCGGACGCTCGCGCTCTCCGACATCTGCCACAAGGATCAGACGGGAAGCGAAAGCGAGAGCGTCGACACCTACTGCGCGCGCCAGCAGGGCAGCGCGAAACGGGCGGGCCGCGGACCTTCTGACGTCCCGGGCATCGTCGTGGAGTCGCGCGCGAACCCGTGCGGGGCCCGCTTCACGATGCTCGACGGCGCGCACCGCATCTGCCGGCTCAAGCAGGGCGGCGCGGCCGCGGGCCGCTTTTTCGTCTTCGACGTCGCCTCAGCGGAGGCGCTCGTGACGTCGGAGCGCGCCCCGGGCAAGCGGCGGCCCCAGCCGCGCTTCAAGACGCTCTCGCGCGACGACGCCATGGACCTGGCCTGGTGGCTCGCGGAGCGCCACTACGACGTCGCGGGGTAATGGTTTCTGTTCCGAGATCAACGATAGTCTCGACCAGGTGGACCTAACATATCCCGCCGGCTCTATAACATATCCCGCCGGCGGGATATGTTAAACCTTGCGAGCACGCTTACGCCCGCGCCTTCGCGGCGCGCTTCCGGCTCTCGACGAACTCCCGGAAGCTCGACGTGCCCCTGGGCCGCGCGGTGGCGGCCGGCGGCGGCGCGGGCGGCGGCGCGGTCGCCCGAGGCGGCGGCGGCGCGGTCGCCCGAGGCGGCGGCGGCGCGGTCGCCCGAGGCGGCGGCGGCGCGGCCTTGAGCGGAGCCGCCTGCTGCTGCGGTGGCGGCGGCGGCGCGGCCGTCGGCGCAACCGCCTTCTGGGCGGCGGAAACGTGGGCCGGCGGGAGCGGGAGCCGGCCGACGGCGACGCCCGGCCGGACCTGGTGTCCGCTGATCACGGTGAAGTGCTCGAACTCGCCGCAGTAGGGCGAGCGGTCCGTCGTCATGTTCGGGAGGCGCGGGATGTCGAGGACCTTGCGGTAGAAGAGGTCGATGTGGCGCGGGCTCGTCCGCGCCATCGCGTCGGTCAGCCGCGGCAGCGCGGCCGCCGGGAAGTAGAGGAGCTGCGTGCCCATGCAGTAGCCCGGCCCGGCCTTCTGGTAGCCGAGCCAGAGGGGCGCGCCCGGGTGGGCCTCGAGGAGCGCCGCGAAGGCGTCGAAGGTGAAGCTCTCGTGGAAGCACGCGTCGTCCTCGGCGACGAGGAAGCCCGGCCTGGCCGCGTCGACGAGCGGCAGCACGAGCTCGCGGACGTGGAGGAAGCAGATGCCGCTCTCGTGGACCCGGGTCTTCATGCGCGCGCTCCAGAAGGCCACGTCGCCGCCGACGACGGGCACGACGAGGAAGCCGAGGCGCTCGATGCGCGCCTTGGCCTCGAGGTAGTGGGGCGAGAAGCCGCCGTCGGGGTTCCGGAAGGTCGTCACGTAGACGGGGTAGTCCTCCTTGGCGTGCGCGCGCGCCGGCGGCGCCGCCGGCGCGTGGGGCCTGTACCAGCTTTTCGGCGGCGGCTCCGTCATGGGGCTGCCCGAGCTCAAAGGCCACCCATCGGTGATCGGCGTTTCCTGGAGGTTGAGGCTGGTCTTTACGTCGCGTCTCTCGGCCCTCGAGACTCCTACGAGACTCCGACCCCCAGGAGTACTGCTATACCCACACGGCCAGCAGCGTCATGGCGCAGAAGCCGCCCCAGACGTAGGCGAGCTTCGCCGGGCCGCGGAGCTCGGGCCGCCGCAGGTTGCCGCCGATGATCTCGTGGATGCACACGTGCAGCAGCGTGCCCGCGCACAGCGCCGTGGCGCGGTCGGCGAAGACCCCGCCGAAGAGGCCCTCGCGCGCGCCGGCCCAGGACGCGAGCAGCGCCAGGGGCGTCGCGACGGCGAAGATCGCCGCGGGCGCCTTGAGCAGCGGGCCGTCGCGGCTCAGGATCGCGCCCAGCGCGAGCGCGCCGAAGAATTTGTGGACGACGATGGCCAGGCCGACGACGGCGCAGGCCCGCGCGTGGACCTGCACGCCGATGGCCGTGCCGTCGCCGAGCGAGTGCACGGCGAGCGCGGTCGTCGCCGACGCCGTCGCCGCGGCCGCGGACCGCGCGGCGGCCTTGGACCGCGCGGCGGCGCCGCCCTCGAGGCTCGGCACGGACTCGTACTTGGGCGAGCCGCCCTCCGGCGAAGCGCCGTGGCCGTGGCCGCCGCCGAACGCGTCGAGGCTCAGCGTCGACAGGTAGCCGAAGCCGAAGAGCGCGAAGGCCCAGGGGAAGGCCTCGTCCGCCTCGGCCGCGTCGGGCAGCAGGTGCACGACGGCGGACGACAGCACGACGCCGCCGGCGCCCAGGTTCAAAGCCACGTTCGTTCGGGCGCCGAGGCCGCCGTAGCTCGGCAGGAGCAATCCTGCGACGGCGACGCCGAAGGTGAGCACGACGAGCAAAGCTTTGAGTTGCTCCACCTCCGTGAGACCGTCCATCAACAGCGGCCTCCGGCGCGGACCCAGACCTCGGACTCGCTGCCTCGGCGCCTAACAAGAGTCTGGCTCGCGAAGTTCAAGCCGGCATCAAGGAGGCTTCAACCAGCCGGGATGTAGATCGATGGGGCTGCCATCTCTCGTCGCCTGCGGCCTCGTCGCCGTCGCCGCGGGCATGCACTGCAGCGAACAGCTGTGCGGCTACCGTTGCACGAAGAACGAGAAGTGCCAGCCGAATCGCGACTGCATCGGCGTCGGCGCCGCGTGCACTGGCGCCAACGCATCGACGCTCGGAGACATCGCCTGCGACTTTAACGCCACGTCCGCCAACGCGACCGTCGAGTGGCGCACCTTGGCCGACGAGGCCCGGTGCCGCGCGGCGCGCTGCGCCACCATCGCGCGAAAGTCCTCGCGGCCGCCGCTCTTCGAACGTTACGCGACGTTCGCCGACGAGCTGCTCGTCGTCACGCCGCACAAGGGCGCGAGCAAGTACATCAGGGCCATGTTCGCGCGGCTCTACGGGTGCACGCCGCGCCGCCAGCCGGGCCTCGGCGAGATCGACGTCTGCGACAACGGCCCGGGGGACGCGGCCCGGCGCAAAGTCCCGTGGACCGTCGCGGCCGTCGTGCGAGATCCCGTGGACCGCGCCGTCGCCATGTTCAACCAGTTCGTCGGGGACGGCAACCTCGACCGCCTCTGCGCGAAAGCGGGGCGAAACGCGACGGGGTTCGGCGCGCCCCGGCTGCGGACGGTTCCCGGCTTCTACCGCGCGCCCGCGGCGTTGCGCGCCGCGCGCTTCCGCGCCTGGATCGACTGCGTCGGCCCGACGATTCGGGACCACGGCCATTTCCAGTCGGGCATCGAGTTCCGCCACTTCCAGCCGGCGACGCGCTACGCGTACGGCGCCGAGGCCGACGTCGTCGGAAGGGTCGAGCACCTCGGGGACCTCGTGGCCGCGCTCGCGCCGCGCCTGCCGAAGCTGAACGCGAGCCTCGCGGTCGCCGGGGAAATCGCCATCGACCCGTGGCTCGCGGACGACGCGCGGCCCAAGGACCGCGGACAGTTCGACAAGGGCCACGACGTCTCGAACCTCTTGGGCGTGCACCGCTGCGACCTCGCGCGGAGCGCCGAGGCGGCGGCGATCCACGGCGCGATCCGCGCGGCCTACGCGACGGACTGGACCTGCTTCGGCGGCGTCTACCCGGCGTCGCGCGGCGCGCCGGGCCCGGCGGCGAACGCGACCCGGCGGCGGCGGCTCCTCGGCGACCACCCGACGAAGCTCGGCTGCCCGAAGTAGTCCCTAGGGAAGCTCGGCTGCCCGAAGTAGTCGTCCCTAGGCGCCGTCGGGCGCGAAGGCCTCCGCGGCGCAGCGCGCGAGGCTCGGCTCGACGGAGGCTGGGTCGTCGATGTAGGACTGGTGCTCCAGGAAAATCTTGCGGTTGTGGTCGGCCCAGGCCGCGCAGTAGGGCAGCTCGCCCGGGAACGCGCGGCGCCGCGCGACGAACTCGGACACGAGGAGGTACTTGTAGCCCAGGTTGCGCTCGTCGGAGTTGCGGCCCGCGTGCTCGACGTGGGAGACGATGGGGATGGACCCGGCCATGATCGCCTCGAAGAAGCGGATGGACCAGGGCATGTCGCCCGCCGGCGCGAGCGTGAACTTCGACCGCGCGAGGCGCTCGTAGTAGGCCGGGTCGCACGTCGCTTTCGCGCACGAGTGCGCGCGGGACGCCTCGTCCCAGTCGGACGCGTTCTTCCGGCCCATGGGCCGCCAGCCCGCGAGCTTGCCGTCGACGACCGTGCGGTCGTAGGCGCCCCGGACCTCGTAGTCCGACACGTTCCGCGCGCCCGTGTCGACCTGTGTGGAAATCAACCACTGGTTTGGGACGTCCCGGCCAAAAACTTCAGAACTCTCTAGCTCGGTCAAATCGAAGTCGATTCGGCTGATTTTTGGACGGATCGATTGCTCTCATCGAGTTCTCGAAACACGGCCGAAGAAGCTGGTCCGAACCGTTCGATATACGCTCACATTGAAGTCGAGTTGAAGATTTGATTCTCCACACGGGTGTCCACGAGCACGGACCGGTCCGTGAAGTACGTGTCCGAGAACATGTTCGCCCACTCGCGCATGCGGTTCACGGACGCGACGATGCGCGCGCTCGCGCGCTTGTGGTCCCGGAAGTGTAGCCGCTGCCCTGGCGGTAGACGCGCATGCGCCCGACGAAGTTGAAGTCGACGTCGCGGTCGCGCCGCGCCGCGAAGTACGCCGCGGCCTCGATCTGCGACCGCGGGTACGTGACGTAGGCCACGGAGATGTTCGCCGACGCGGCGATCTGGGCGTTGACCGTCGCGTTCCGCTGGTCCCGCGTCGGGCAGCAGGCGGCCTGCTGCGCGTCTCGGAGCGACGCGGGCGCGGCCCCGAGCGCGCGCTCCTGAAACCGCCCGAAGCACGCGCCGAGGTCCACGCGCGGCCCGGGCCAGATGTTCCGCGACGACTCCTCCTGGACCCGCGCCGGCGGGTCCGCGCAGAAGCCGCGTCCATCGGCGGCGGCCTCCTCCGCGGCGGCCGCGGCCGCCGCGAGCTCGTCGTGCAAGGCCTGGCACCGGCGGAGCACCGGGAGCGACGCGTTGAACAGGAGGTCGCCGTGGCAGCAGGACACGCAGGCGTTCGGGCAGGCGTGGTTGCCGATGACGCCGCCCGTGCCCGCCACGCCGCACAACCGGTTCCGCACCTTGGCCCCCGATTCCCGCAGCCACGCGCACGTCTTGAACGCGCGGTTCCCGCCCGCGCGGCCGATGTGCCAGTCCGGGTCGTCGCGCTGGACGAAGGGGCACTGGCGCACGACGTCCATGACGTCCTTGGCGGCCGCGCGGTCCTTGGACGCGAGGAGGGGCACGAGGCGCTGCTTGTCGCCGAGCTTCTTGCGCACGGGGCCCGTTTTCTTCCACTGCCGGTCGTGCTTCGTCTCCGCGTCCACCGCCGGTCCCTCCGCGGCGTCGACGAAGGCGAAAAGGGCGCAGACGAGGATGCGCCACATCCCGCAGGGGCGGCGCGCCGGCGGGCGACCTCTCTTGAGACTTGCTCGAGCCTTGCTCGCCAAAGGCAAAAAACTCTCCCGTCTCACCTCGCGACCAACCCTGAAGCAGCGCGGCGACGCCCGCTGCACAGAGCCTTGTTTGTAGATTACGGCCAAAAAGAGCGGCGCGCCTAGAGGTGCTGGAGGTCCGAGGTCTTGGACGCGTCCGCGTTCTCCTTGACGAAGGGCGCGATGGCCTTGAAGTTGGGGTGCCTGCTGTTGCCGAGGAGCTGGAAGACGAGGGACTCGGACGTGGAGACGACGGCGCCGGAGCTCGCGAGGCGGGCCAGCGCGACGGTGCGGTCGAAGTCGCGCTGCGACGAGACCGCGTCCGCGCAGACGTGGACGTCGATGCCGAGCTCGAGGAGGTCGAGCGTCGTCTGGAGCACGCAGACGTGGGTCTCGAGGCCGCAGAGGATCGCCGACGTGCAGCCGAGCTTCTTCAGGTGCGCCTTGACCTCGTCGGTGCACATGGAGAAGAGCGTCTTCTCGAAGACGTTGCCGCCGGCCGGGTCGAGCAGCGACGCGATCTCGGGCACCGTCTTCTTGAAGGCCTTGGGGTATTGCTCCGTGACGACGACGGGCATGCCCAGCTCACCGGCCGACTTGACGACGAAGCCGCTGCACTTCACGAGGCTCTCGAAGCCCATGATGACGTCGCGGAACCGCTCCTGGATGTCGCAGACGAGCACGGCCGTCGTGGCCGGGTTGAGCTTTTTGACCTTCGTGATCATCGACGCCATGGGTGAGGACACGCGGCGCGTGTCTGTGGACGACGGCGGTGTCTGTGGACGACGGCGGTGGTGGTGGACAGAGGCCTCTCTGTGGCAACTTTGTGGCAATCTCGGCCTCACCAGCGGCGCAAGCAAAGGCATGGAGGCCGCCGCGCCGTCCCCAACCGACGCGCCAGAGCCCGCGGCGAAGCGCCAAAAGGTCGACGCAAGCGCGCTCCCTACGTTGAAACCCTGGAAGACGAACGTCAGCGTCGCCGTGGCGTCGCACGCGGGCAAGCGCGCGGCCATGGAGGACGCGCACTGCGTCGTCCACGCGGACCAATTCGCCGCCTTGATCGCCGAGGCCGGCGGCGACGTCCCCGCGGGCGCGCGCGTCGCGCTCTACGGCGTGCTCGACGGCCACAACGGCAAGCGCGTCGCGGAGCTCTGCTGCCGCAGATTGCCCGCGCACGTCGCGCGCGAGCTCGCGCTGCTGCTGCGCCAGCAGGCCCGGCAGCCCGCCAAGGCCGCTTCGGACAAGGCGCCCGTCCACTGCTGGCACAGCAAGAAGCGCGTCGAGGCGGCCCTGCGGCGCGCGTGCGCGCGCGTCGAGGCCGACGCGGCGGCGTCCGGGTTCGACGCCGAGGGCTGCTGCTGCGTCGCCGCGCTGCTCGTCCAGGACGAGTGCCACGTGCTCAACCTCGGCGATAGCCGCGCCGTGCTCGTGCGGCGCGGCGACGAGGCGCTCGAGTCCCGGGACCGGTGCGGCGACGGCGACGTCGGCGGGCCCCCGGGCGCGTCCGCCGCGCACCGCTCCAAGTTCCCCTGGGAGCTCGGCGCCCACGACGGCTTCCCGGCGCCGCCGCCGGCGCGGGCCCTGGCGCTGACGACGGACCACCGCGCGTCCGCGCCCGGCGAGCGGCGCCGCATCGTCGACGCGGGCGGCGCCGTCGACGCGGGCGGCCGCGCCGCGGGCATGATGGAGGTGTCGCGCACCTTCGGCGACGCGGCCATCAAGAGGCTCTGCGGCCGGCCCCAGGCCGACGCGACGAAGAACGCCATCTCCGCGGAGCCCGACGTCCGCGTCAAGCTCACGCTCGACAGCGCGCGCGACGAGCTCCTCTTCCTCGCCTGCGACGGCCTCTGGACGCGCTTCAACCCCGTCGACGCCGCGACCTTCCTCCGCACGCGGCTCCTCGCCGACTTCGCCTACTCCGCGGACGGCAACCGCCGCGCGTGGGGCGACCTCGACAAGGCCGCGAGGGCCCTCGTCGACGACGCGGTCACGCACCGCCACTGCACGGACAACGTCTCCGTCGTCGCGCTCCGGTTCTCGCCGCGCGACGACGCCGCAAGTGACGCCGCGGCGACGTCGTAAAAGAAAAGGGCATCACCGACTCTCGAGAGTGCACCAAGTAACTAGTGCACCGTCGGAAGTTTTTCCGCGACAACTTGATCGATCTTCGATGGCTGCCCCGTCTCTCCGCGTCGCCTGGGTGGGCCTCGGCAACATGGGCTCGCCCCTCGCCGGGCGCGTCGCGAACTACGTCGCGGGCCAGGGCGGGACCATGGCCGTCTTCGACCTCGCGGCGCAGGCGCGGTCGGCCTTCGTCGCCGCCCACGGCGGCGTCGCCGCGGCGTCCGTCGCCGAGGCCTGCGCCGACGCGTCCGTCGTCTTCCTCTGCCTGCCGACGTCGGCCCACTCGAAGACCGCGGCCCTCGAGGCCGACGCGTCGCTCGCCGCCGGCGCGACGGTCGTCGACGTCACGTCCGGCGACCCCGAGGAGAGCAAGGCCATCGCGGCCGCGCTCGGCCGGAGCGCCTACGTGGACCTCGCCGTGTCCGGCGGCCCCGCCGGCGCCGCGGCGGGCACCGTGAGCGTCATGGTCGGCGGCGCGGCCGCCGACGTCGCCGCCGTCGAGCCGCTCGCGAGCCAGTTCGCCGGCAAATTCGTGCACCTCGGCGGCGTCGGCGCGGGCCACGCGGTCAAGGCCGTCAACAACACGCTCAACTCGCTCCACCTCGCCGCCGCCGGCGAGGGCCTCGTGGCGCTGAAGAAGGGCTACGGCGTCGACCCGGCCAGGGCGCTCGCGGCGATCAACGCGGGCAGCGGCAAGTCGCTCCAGACGGAGGTGCGGCTGCCCAAGGAGGTGCTCACGGGCGACTTCGACTACGGCTTCGCCGTGGCGCTGATGAAGAAGGACGTCGGCATCGGCGCGGCCCTCGTGCGCCGCCACTGCGCCGGCGCCGTCGCGCTCCCCAGCGTCGAGGAGACGCTCGTCGGCGCCGTGGACCGCCTCGGCCCGGACTTCGACTACACGGGCATCGTCAAGCACATCGAGGAGAACAACGGCGTCGACCTGCGGAGCGCTCAGGAGTAGGGGCCCCGAAGGTGTGTGGACGAGCTCGACATCAAACGAGATAACGTTGAAGTTTTCGTTGACGCTAGGTTGACTATTCTCGGAAGCCCACTAGGACAGCTAGCCTAAGGTCTCGAGAATCCGCCAGCCGGTGGCATGGACGAGTGATTTTGCGATTTCCCTGCGCAAATTTCCTCTCCCGACATACGAGCCCCTCACCGACGCCCCCCAGCGCACTGCGCGACGCGACGCGAAAAATCCCCGACGAAAACGATGGCCGACGACCCGCAAACGAGTGCGATCGCCGGTGACAGCCAGAAGCAGCCGGCCGCGGCCCCACCGACGCAGACGCCCGCCGCGGCGCCGCCGCCCGCCGCGGCGGCCCCCAAGCCGACGACCAAACCGGAGCCGCCGGCGGACCAGCCCATGCGGCGCGGCAAGTGGACGGCGGAGGAGCAGACGTACGCCGACTGCCTCATCAGCCTCTTCACGGCGGGCACGGTGCCGAGCTGCGAGGACGGCGTGACGCTGCGGGCCTTCCTCGCCAAGGAGCTGCGCTGCGAGCGCATGCGCATCTCGAAGAAGTTCGCGGGCGCGTCGATCGGGAAGCTCATCTTCCGGCGGCGCGGCGAGTGCGCGGCGGCCGCCGAGGCCAAGCTCGGCGAGCTCCGCGAGGCCTTCCGGCGGAGCGCCATGGTCTTCCCCGGCGAGGCCTTCCTGAGCGCGCGCTTCCTCGGCGGCGGGCCCGGCGGCTCCGCGCCGCCGTCGGCCGCGGCGTCGCCGCGCGAGGCCAAGGCCGAGCCCGCGGCCGCGGCCGCCGCGCCCGCGGGCGCCGCCGCGGTCAAGGCCGAGCCGGCGCCGCGGCCCCCCGCGGCGTCGCCGCGGGCCGCCGACGGCGGCGACGCCCAGTTCTACGAGCACCGCCAGCGCCAGCGGCTCCTGCAGGCCGAGGCCGCGCCGGGCGCGTGGCGCGCGTACGACTACGACGGCGCGCGCGCGGCGGGCGACGGCGCGTTCCGGCCCGCGGTGCCCGGCGCGCCGGGCAAGCCCAATCCCTGCGGGTCGCCGCGGGGCGGCGGCGCGCCGCCGCCCCTCCTCTACGTG